AGTATAATCAAAAGTTGTTCCCTAAATGGCTACATTTTTGAGAGCACAGTGGTTACCTTCTGTTCACACGCTTCCCCTTCTTGGCCTCAGAAAACAAACTGGTGCCTTATATAGTTCTCTTCCTTCAATAATGTACAGCAAAGCACTGACTTTTTAAAAAGGAATTTAACAGTAGTGTTCTCTCCAACCCACAATTTTTCATGCCTGAAACTGCTTATAAAAAACAAAAAGGAACAAACATGTCTATTGCCTAAAACTCCCCACAATCCTACATGTATAAACAGCATCCTATTTCCAAAGCACGTAGATATCCCAAGTTCAGCAAACAGACTGTCTGGAGTGCATTTACACAGAACCATGTTCATTCATCACCTTCAAGTTTAATTACCAAGCCATTTCCTCTTGGCAAAGTTTACCGGTCAGTGGAATTAGGTTTTACATGGTCAGGATACCAAGGAATTACAAGTACCCATAATTCTCTGCAGCTGCACAATTTGTTAAGAATCTGAAGCTTTGAAAAGGAAAGGATTATTTAGGAACAAACATTCCTTCTCGCATACAGTTGTATCTGGAACATTCATGTGGACATGACCTCAATGCAGACGTCTTTTATGAAATAATGCCAAGAAAAGGCAGCTAACTAAAAGAAACCCAATATTAGTCAGAACCACAGAGAAATAGGAAAGGCATCCATTTCTTCAGTAGTACAGATTGTTCCTTATTGTATATTTGGACTGTGAATTGGCCAGTTTCATTTAATATATGCCAAATTCACCACTACTTTCAGAAGATTTATTAAATACTGTAACAAAGACTGCCAAAGTGGTTCTACGATAGTCAGCAGGAACAACCACAATGTCTCAAAACAAAACCTCTCATTTTATTTGCTCAATTCCACTTCGGAAATCAGTGACACAGCCTTCGCTATTCTTTATTATTAAACTTGGCAAATAACATACAAATATTCTTGTACATTCTTTAGTCCTCCCACCGCCATAGCAATTTCCTTCACTTTCCACCCTCCCTTAGCTGTGGTTTCACCAAATAAGAGGTAGCTACTATGATGGAGATACAATCAATTCTTATAGAAATCGCAAACTAGTCCTACCACTACCCACAGCCTCCAACAACTGTTTTAATGTTTTGTATTTTGTGGATATTCAAGGCACTATCCAACTAAACAGTTCCACTACCACAAGCACTTTTGGCTGTACAGTGGAACTTTCCCTTACTGTTCTCTCCCTATGTGCCCCCACCACCCTAAATCTGTTCCAGGTGCTTGGGATATCTCCCAGAATATATTTGGGGGGCATGCAGATGAGAGGAAGTGCTGTTGTGCAATCAAAGGTGTTTGTGCTAGTAGAAATCGTTCTGCCCAGACGCTGAGGTCCAGAGCCGAGGGCCTTATGGCGGTTCCCTCATTGCGAGAAGCAAAGCTACAGGGAACCAGGCACAGGGCCTTCTCGGTAGTGGCGCCCACCCTGTGGAACACCCTCCCATCAGATGTCAAAGAGATAAACAACTACCTGATATTCAGAAGACATCTTAAGGCAGCCCTGTTCAGGGATGTTTTTAATGTATGACATATTAGTGTATTTTTGGTCTTTGTGGAAGCCGCCCAGAGTGGCTGGGGAAACCCAGCCAGATGGGCGGGGTACAAATAAATTATTATTATTATTATTATTATTATTATTATTATTATTATTATTATTATTGAAATGTTTAGCAGGATACTGCTCTGTTGTGCACTATGTTATACACTATGTTGTTTATGTTAGTATACTGAAACCATCCCATGGCCTTAGGACAAAGGGTGGTATACATTAAATTAACAAACAAAACGAGCACTTCAGGGGTGCATGGGGTTACTTTAGGGTCAGGTAACAATGTTCCACAGAAGTGCAAATAAGGGCCAAGCCAGTAGCAGCATTATGCTGTATGCCTATTTTTTTATTCTGTTTCAATTATACACGAAGTGTATGTAGCTGTTTCTTGATTTACATTTTTCTGCCCTGTATATGTGCAAAGGCAGCTGATATACAAATGCTATTCTGCACACAAAAGCCACCTGCAGTATCTTTCATTCCAATATTTTTACACAAACACTGCCAATTAATAGGGTAAATTATAACCAGAAGTAGTTATCTGTAGGGAAAGGGCACAGGGCGTTTAACGACAGCAATCTGTTCTGTAGAAAAAGCACAGGGGGACTAGGGAGACAATATCAACAGGTGTTTCCTTGAAAACCTCAGACTGGTTATAGAAGAGGAAATGGATCTCTGGAGCCTGCAAATCGTTAGCATCTCTAATGCATTTGCAAATTCCTACTGTGGAAAATCAGCCTGTAAAAACAGGTCATTTCCAATAAGTGCCTTGTCTGGTTTCCTACACCATTTAATTCCAGATGAATTTTATGAGAACTATGTTACATATTTTACCTCCCATATGGTTCACATTTGACAATAAAATATTTGTGTCCTGCTCTGCTCTTTTCTATGCTCCAAAAAGCAGATGTCTTCAATGGAACACTGAAGGTCACACCTCCTATCTCCAATGGACAGGCCAAGGCTGTGTTTTCTCCTTCTCCATCAATCTCCAGATAAGATGATGGTTTGGGAAGTGCATCTAGCTAGAATGGGAACATTCTAAATTAAGGCTCCAATGAACATACTGGACAAAACTGGCCATTTTCATTTTTTTCTTATAACAGCCTTTTCATCACATTGCACAGCTTCAAAATCTTTATTAGAAATATGTACCGTATTTTTCGCCCCATAGAACGCACTTTTCCCCCTCCAAAAATGAAGGGGAAATGTGTGTGCGTCCTATGGGGTGAATGCAGGCTTTCGCTGAAGCCTGGAGAGCGAGAGGCATCGGTGCGCACCGACCCCTCTCGCTCTCCAGGCTTCAGGAAGCTATCCGCAAGCCTTGCAAGCCCTGCGGGAGTTCCCGCGGGCTCACAAGGCTTGCGGGCAGCAGCCTGCAGCCCGAAGCATGGGGAGCCCTCCGGAGGGCTCCCCATGCTTCGGGCGAGTGTCCGCAAGCCGGGCGCGCGAGGCTTGGGGCGGCAGCCTGCCGCCTGAAGCTTGGGGAGCTTGGCTTGGGGCGGCAGCTGCGGCTGGGGGGGAAATAAATTTTTTTTATTCATTTCCCCCCCCAAAAAACCCCCCGAGGTGCGTCCTATGGGCCGGTGTGCCCTATAGGACGAAAAATACGGTATTTGGCATGTTTATTCCTGTTTGTAATTTCTTTAATAATTAGTTTAAACATGTTTAATAGTGCCCTGGAGAATGGCTAAAAGTTTATATAAGTGTCATAATAAAACAAGGGCAGGAAACGAATATAGCAACATATAGCGAGACTCCACAGTCAGATTGCAGCAAAGGGCAGAAATTACAGCAACTGGCTAGTGTTCTGTTTCAGTTCTATGCTCACGTCAGGTCTGACAATTTAGCTCTAAAATTTTGCTACTGCTAACGCAAGAGGCTACTGTTCTGGTAACTCTACATCCCTGTCACACAAGCAAATTACAGCTGGAGATGTACAAAGCAGAAAGATCTTATTATTGTTGGGTGAAATCCAACATTAGTCATATTCAGAGCACATTGACTTAGTAACTTAAGTCCATTGATTTCATTGGGTACACATTGTGTGACCTAGTTGGATATCACAACAACATCGTCATCATTATCAAATAGTTCTGGAAATGCCATTCCTTTACTTTAAACAGCATAGCATTCTTCAGATGCTGTGGACTCCTACTTCCATTAGCCACACCAATGGATGGAAGTGATTGGCATGTTAAAACACTACATCACTACATCACGAGGCACTATGACAGACAGGCCCTAGGTCTGCCTCCTGGTGACCCAACAACCAGGGAGAAATGGTGAGACCAACAACCAATCAGGAGAGAATGTGTGGAATTTAAGTTAGACCACAGCAGTTTAACAGTCAGATAGAAACTTTCCATCTGGGTGGGCAAATTGGTTCTCTGCCTATCTGAGTGGGCTCAGAAAGCGATTATCCGTCAGTAGGCACAGAGCGCGAATAGGCTCTCACTTAGATACAAGGATTGTCTATGGGCAGACTATGCTGGACTATCTGAGAGGGGTTAGCTAGGGAACTTGGCTTTGATTCCCTGTGGGGTAGTTAAATCCTAGAAGGGGCTGGGTGGGTGTTGCTGCTTGGGACACCGATATCCCTGCTAGGTGTGAAAAGTCTACCTGAGACTTGGTTTGACAAAGAGTGTTGTTTAAAAGTTTCTCTGTAAACAGTGTCTTTAACAAACTTTTGTGCCTCATGCGTGAAACCATCAAGCGTTAAATGTTTGTAGAGTAGAATTAAATAAACATACAGTTTGGGATTCTGGTATATGGCCATTTCCTATTCTAATGAAAGTGCAAGGCAACATCCTCATGACGTGCTCTGACTCCAAGCCGAAGATCGTGAAAATCACATTTCCATCGCCAACACATGCACACTTGCATGCCTGCATGTAATGCATGATCAAGGATGCATGCTTGGTTACAATGGAGCAGAAGTATGGGTAGCCTTCACCTGTGACATTTGCCTGATCCAATTTCCCCCACAGATGCTATTACCCCAATGGAAGGCAGTCAGGGAAACAGTCTTCCCCTGTGGGGTTAACAGTCATTTCATGGGGGAATTTCAATCAGGAAAAGAACACCAGGGTGGTGGGGAAGCAGGGGTGGGAGTGGTCTCCCCCAGCACCACTGTTTCAATAAAAATCAATAAAATTAAGATCATTCTCTTTGGCAGTCTTTAAAAGCAAGGGAGTTTTAAAATGTTTACTGAAAAGGAAAAAAGTCACTGCTGAATTACTGCTAGGTCTTGCAGAACACTTATATCCCTAATAAAATGAACTAACCAATTTCCATCTAAATATGCAAGAGAAACAGATACAAAAGTCAACTTCTTGTTCATGTGAAAGTACAAAGCAGTAACAGATCCAGAACCTTGTAGATAATTTTTCTTACCTTCCCCTTTCTACAGCCAGGGCATCTATTTCATCAAAGAACAATATTGACGGTGAAACAGCTCTGGCTTTCCTAAAGATCTGGCAAAACAAAAACAAAATAATTGTCAGATGTCCAAAGAAGTTGCATAATCACAAATAAAGTTGTTACCCTTGGTTTGCCTCTAATATCCAGGATAGGTTGCAATATCAAGATAAAACTATAATGACACAACCTTGCATCATCTAAAATGTCCAACTGATGGACTGCACTTTTGTAGACTGTGGAGTTAACCATTTCAAATAGCATTGCTGGCATCCCTCCAATTATTCTCTAAACAGCAGGGGGGGGGAATTGTGAAAATATGCTTTAACTGAACATATACTAAGCATATCTGGGGATTACTATTTTAAATGTCTTTTAACTTTTTAATACTATCAGTTGGCAAAGGTAAAGGTAAAGGTACCCCTGCCCGTACGGGCCAGTCTTGACAGACTCTAGGGGTTGTGCGCCCATCTCACTCTAGAGGCCGGGGGCCAGCGCTGTCCGGTGACACGTCCGGGTCACGTGGCCAGCGTTACAAGCAGCATCTGGCGAGCCAGCGCAGCACACGGAAACGCCGTTTACCTTCCCGCTAGTAAGCGGTCCCTATTTATCTACTTGCACCCGGGGGTGCTTTCGAACTGCTAGGTTGGCAGGCGCTGGGACCGAGCAGCGGGAGCGCACCCCGCCACGGGGATTCGAACCGCCGACCTGACGATCGGCAAGCCCTAGGCGCTGAGGCTTTTACCCACAGTGCCACCCGCGTCCCTATATCAGTTGGCAAAACCTTTTAACAATTAGCCAAAGGATGTTCCAGGCTCACCTGGTAAAAACAAAATAGTTACCAGCTGCTACAGCATTAACAGGATAATTCCTATCATTTTAAAATTGTCAAACAAAAGCTAAGCTATGGAAATGTTTCTCCATTCCATGAATGCAACTCGTTGAACACAAAATATTGAATTCCATTCTACCAAAACAGCACATCAGCAGCATTAGAATAAATGAATTATTAGGGCAGGATTCACGTAAGGATCCCCATCAGCGGAAGCCGTTCCACTTGTGCAGTGGGGCTTTTTTTCCTTTCCTCACCTCCGTATTGGGCTCAGGAAGGTCATGAGAACCCTCAAGACAGCACAGGGGAGGAATGAGGATTGTTCTATCTGGCAAGCTGATCTGCTTGTGCAGACATAATGTTTGTAATAGTGCAATGTTGAATTCTACCCTTAGTATGAATGACTGCTTACAAAATCCTTTGTTGCCAAATAATAATTTTGACTATACAGTCTGCAGATATCAGTTTTAATTAAACAAGCAGAGTATACAAACAATATGTATGTACACTGTAAGTAATACATTGTAGATATGATATATAATGTACTAAAAATATTTAATGGGAGCAGCATAATCAGGTCAGTGATTACAACAGCATTCCCCCCCAATCAGCTTGAAGAATCACTGTGGTCACAGCTGGCAGCTGCTGTCACTATCCACCTTCTTTCTCCAGGCATGTGGCCCCAGTGATAGCTTGGCCTCCCATATATAAGCCCTGATCGATGTAGGCCATTCTGCAAATTACATCTTTCAACTCTACAATTCCCTCCTGTGAAATGACATTGTTGCTGTTAAGAAAAAGATTGTAAAAAACACCTTTCAAATTACAATTAAAGTCCTGATCACAGTAAACACACGAGTTAATTTAACCGAAACCAGTGTTTCCCTACTCCCACTGTGTAAGGCACCATGCTGCCTCACACCATTTCCTCAAACTTACCTGGCAGCGAGGTCTCACTCTGGAGTCTCCAATACTGTACACCCTTCAGTGCTTTAGTAGCATCCTGGGCACAATGCTCCATTGGAGGCATGTATCCATTCAAGCAATATCCTAGTAAGATAATCTAGAAGCGAAGATTCCCCATCGATCATTGTGCCAAAGATAGTGCTATGAAAGTGCCAAAGGTCTTCAGTGAACCCACAGCAAAACCATCCTGCCGCAGGCCCCTGGTAAGTTTGGATAGGAAAAAGAAGGGGGCAGAATGGAGAACACCCTCCACTCTTAGCAAATTCTTAGCAAATTCATACACAAGCTGACTTCATCATATCAACATATGGCAGGAAGCAGTGAAGACTGCTATAATTCAAAGCCTGTGAAAACTAGTTACTGCAAAGCAATGACTGCATGATGCAACAAAAAGACCCTGCCTATAATGTAGCAAAACAGACAGTAAGTTGCATTATACATCCCTGTACATGTGCACTTAATATTCCAGTTAAATTAATAACACCTTACCTCTCTGACTGCACGTTCAGATTCTCCAACGTATTTGTTCATCAATTCAGGGCCCTGCATGAAAAGAGTCACATACATTTTCCTTATCCCAAACACAGCTTTAAAGAAATCGGTCATATCACATAGAATTCTACCTTGAAGAACTTTTGAATATCTACTTAATCAGAGATAAACCCTATAATACAGGGTCTTCCAAGGAGACCCTGCAGGATGTTCCATGATTAGCAAAGGCCCTGGCTCCTGGGTTGCGTGGTGCCACACACAAGCCCCCTCAATCCTGATGACTAATGATTACCACTTGCGTGACCACATGGTGATAGCACGTACCACCCGGAATGCCCCTACCTTCAGTAAATTAATGAGGCAGAGACAGTAATGACCTTCCTTTTTTTTTTGGAAATCGTTTTTATTTGATTTTACAAATATAAATTTATAAGCATACCAAATACACATCCATATAAAGAGATTACTCTGAATCTCAAGACTCAGAGATTCAGACAGTAATGACCTTCCAATGCCTCCGAAAAATATACATGTTTACCCAAGCTTTCCTGGACTTTGACTCTTAATTTTTATTTTTTTGTGCATGGCTGCTTTATTGTGAAATGCAGTTGCATTTTGTTTTTATCAAGTTATCAGGAGACTTCATTAAAATGTTGTTGTATTTTTATTATTTTTATGTAAACCGCTAAGAGATTAGTGTAACATTTGAAATAAATCCGTGTGATTGTGGAAGTAAAGAATGAAACACCAACCCAGGTCTGCATTTTTGGTGCAGCTCATTGGATAGTTAAAGCTACATGCCCTATTCCTGTTCTCTTGCACTCTGCTTAATAAATGAGTTGGCAGCATGGAGCTCAATATGTGCTAAATTTTTAAGTCTATTACTCAATCAGCACAGATCACAGAGTGACATTTCATACTTCTGCTTACTAAACAATAGCTAAAGGAGGATCTGCCAAAAAACCTCATCGGAACACTAACCAGTTTCCTTCTGGGGATTCAGTGATGGTTGCTCATGAAGCAGAGCAGCAAGATTTCCAAGCCTCATTAATCTATTTTAACTGCTGCAGCCAGGAGGAAGGAGAAAAACGGCGGAGGAAATTTTAACTGGAAAATATTTTGACGTACTTGACCCAGATGACAAACCAAACTTAAGCACATGTCAAGGGCAAAGAGCCACGGAACGGAATCCGAAGAGGGATACAGGACATTAGAAAATATGCCAAGATGAAGTCAGAACTCTGACAACATTGTATATTTTTGTAATCATTGCTAATCAGGAAAAAAAGAGAAGCTAACACTGAAAGGATCTTATTTAAAACAGAAAATAAGGCACCGAGAACATTTTCTACCAAAAAACCTTCCACCGTAATTGGACACATTTACTAAATACAAATAATGCGTTGGAGTCGCTGACTCTCTTCTGCCTGCATAAATGTTGTTCTTGCTCTTTTGAGGCACTACAAGTTTTGCCAGCTAGTTTCTAAAGTATTCTTAAAATCCAGAGAGTGCTAGATCATTTGGCACTCCTGTACGTTTAGAACATCAGAAAGGCCTAATTATTTAACACTTCTCTTTTATGGATTGATAGCCCGAGGTCAAGCAACACATTACACACAGTTTTCATATCTTGTAACTTGTTTTTAAACAAAAGCAGTTTGGCAGTGGGTGTTCTTGTATGGAGAAATAGCAAAGGAGTGCTTTAACCTTCTTCCTGTGTACTGTTTTTCCACTCCAACTCCCTGCCTCCCAACCAACTGCCAAGGTTTCCAATTATGTTTACACCCCATATACACCTGGAATCCTATCACAGGAGGAAAAACAGGGGGAATTCCAGCAGAAAAATAGTAGAGACAGGAAAGGGTTAAGGGTCCTCCCCACTTCTCTGCACAAAAACACTTGCTTCTGTTTATAAAAACTGGCAATTAAGGGGTTGTTACTCAGATTTGCATGTAGCCTAGTATAACCTATGAGTGGAAATTATTAATCCCATCTAAGAACACAAGAGCTCTGCTGGTTCAGACAGAAGTCATATCTAGTCCAGCATCTTGTCCTCATAGTGGACAGCCAGAAGTCTACATGAAGTCACGAGCACAACAGAACTCTGAACCACTCCTGTTCCCCAGCAACTGGGGGGCTCCATGAATCTGTATAACCCCCCCCCTTTAAAGCCACCCACCCATGTGGGCTGCCATCCCTACATTTTGTGTGTAGCCAATTCGACAGTCTAACTATGTACTGTGTAAAATAGTTAAAGGTAAAGGGACCCCTGACCATTAGGTCCAGTCGTGGCCGACTCTGGGGTTGCGACGCTCATCTCGCTTTATTGACCGAGGGAGCCGGTGTACAGCTTCCGGGTCATGTGGCCAGCATGACTAAGCCGCTTCTGGCGAACCAGAGCGGCACACGGAAACGCCATTTACCTTCCCGCCGGAGCGGTACCTATTATCTACTTACACTTCATGCAGCGCATGGAAACGCCATTTACCTTCCCGCCAGAGCGGTACCTATTTATCTACTTACACTTCATGCTTTTGAACTGCTAGGTTGGCAGGAGCAGGGATCGAGCAACGGGAGCTCACCCCGTCGCGGGGATTCGAACCACCAACCTTTCAATCGGCAAGCCCTAGGCTCTGTGGTTTAACCCACAATGCCACCCGCGTCCCTTTTGTGTAAATAGTTAAAGAGGGACAAAGTCAAGTTTCTGCAATTAGAGGCAACATTTTAGCTTACTGCTAATTTTAATTATTAGTTGAATGTTTTAAATAGCTGTATTAAACAGCTTTTACTGATAGCTTTACTGCTTCTGTGAGATGCCTTGAGGTTTTTTCCTTCACAATCAAATGGTATATAAATTTTGTGAAATAAAATAAATTAATAAACAATTGAAAGCTGTTCACACACTGAGTTGTTGCATTCAACTATGTTCTCATCAGAGTAGACCCAGGAAACTTAACGGACCTAAATTAGTCATGCCCATTCATTTCAATGGCTCTACTCTGAATAGAAGGAACACTGGATACAAGTAGTGCTTCAAAGTGCATCAGTTAAACAGGAAGGTGCAAGTGACTTGCTTTTTTTTGTCCAAAGTAGGACAAAGGAGGGATGCCATGTGCTTCCAGTGCAGAAACAGCTCCCCCATCTCACTTCAGACAGAGGCCAACACAAAGTTACCAAGAAGCGCAGGTGTATCAGCATGTCTTGTTCCACACGTATCCTATAATGTCCTGCCTTAAAACTAGAAATGCCATTTACCTTCACTGCCAAGAAATTCAGCCCACTTTCATGGGCCAATGCCTTTGCAATCATGGTTTTTGAGCATCCTGGAGGTCCATAGAGTAGCACTCCCTTTGGTGGCTGAATCCCCATTCGAATGAAAGACTCGGGATGCTTCAGTGGCCATTCCACTGCTTGTTTCAATTTCAGTTTGACATCTTCTAGCCCTCCAATGTCTGACCAGGATACCTGTAAAACAAACAACCCCGTCATGAATCAGCAGGAGATTTTTTTGTAGAGTAGAAGAATAGAAGTATTTCACTCACACTCACACACACAAAAATTGTAGCTGTTACAAATACACACATGATTTAAAATCACATTCTACCAGTGCTGCACTAAAAGGCTTCCATTGCATTTACAGAGATGATGGGGAAATATGGCTTGATGCCTTAAAGCTGTTCAAAACTCAAAACTATTTTTGCACTGAGTGGAAAGCAGACATAACTGAGAGAAAGAAGGGAGGTGGTAACTGGTTATTAACAGAGTTCAGGATGGACATGGTTGATCTGAATAACATGAGGTGAACTTTTAAAATAACTAGATTCAGGTAGGTAGCCGTGTTGGTCTGACGCAGTCGAAATAAATTTAAAAATTGTGCAGTAGCACCTTAAAGACCAACTAAGTTTGTTCTGGGTATAAGCTTTTGTATGCATGCACAATTCTTCAGAAGTGTGCATGCACACAAAAGCTTATACCCAGAACAAAAAGTTGGTCTCTAAGGTGCTACTGCACAATTTTTAAATTTATTTTAAAATAACTGTATTCATTAGTCATCTCAGTAACTAACAGCCCACCCCTTGGCCTTGCCCACCTTCTCCTCCATACCTTCTTCTAAGTCAAACCAGAAGAGGAGAGCAAAAGAATCAGGTGTTTACTATACAGTGGATGCTCGGGTGGTGAATGTGAACCGTGTGGGAGGCACGTTTTCAACCAGCAGCGTTTGCAACCTGCAGCGCCGCTCATGCACACACATGGGTTGCGATTCGGCGCTTCTGTGCATGTGTGACCGCTGAAACCCGGAAGTAACCCGTCCCAGTACTTCCGGATTTTGGCGCGTCCGTAACCCCAAAAAAAAAGCAACCTGAAGCATCTGTAACCCAAGGTATGACTGAACAGTACTGAGGCTCGTGAATTAGCAAGGCCTAGTTCAAAAGCACATCAAAGTGCAAGTAGATAAATAGGTACCGCTCCAGCGGGAAGGTAAACGGTGTTTCCGAGCGCTCCTCTCGTTCACCAGAAGCGGCTTAGTCATGCTGGCCACATGACCCGGAAGCTGTACGCCAGCTCCCTCGGCCAATAAAGCGAGATGAGCGCCGGAACCCCAGAGTCGGCCACGACTGGACCTAATGGTCAGGAGTCCCTTTACCTTTAGTGTCAGCACACTCAGACAGCTGCTGCAGGCCCAGCAGGGTCTACCACTAGTGCCTGCCATTAGAAACAAAACAAACAAACGTCCCGAGGGCTCCAATCAGCACCAGAAATGTGAATCTGGGAGTCACTGCCATTTTCAGTTTCCCACAATATTCCACTTACCAGAGCACTGCTGCCATCGCTATGTCAGCCTGTCATAGAAAACGAATATCAGCGTCTGTGAGAAGCCCCATCGAACCTGGAGCCAACCCCAAAATTAACAACCACCCAGGGCAGAAGATTCCTGAGTTAAAATGGCATTGCAGCAGCAGCAATAAATCTCTGCCCTTCATCAGTAGATCAGGATGGTTCACAACGCAAAATTGCAGTATTAAAAACCACAAAACACATAATAAACTCAAGAACAACAACAAACCAATAACACCCCCCTCCCACAACGCATATAAAGGGCATCAGATGTCTCCCTTGAGCTACAATTGTCACCAGGCGGTGACTGCTATCAAGTATGTGGCTTTCCTATGTTTGAATAATTATTTCAGAATATTGTACTGGGCAAAACTTACTTTTGGCACATCAACTGCCACTTCCCTCATGGCACTGGGCCTGACGTCGTTCATTGCCTGCAGGAAGTCGCTGCGAGTAATTATCACTGATCCAGACACATCCTCATCCAAGAGGTTTGCTTTCTCCCCAAGTACTCTCCGTAAAGCATGCAAGCCTGCACGTGGCACAGAATACGAAAACACGGCATCAGATTATCGCCCCCCACAAATATATGGCGTGCTACGTATGACATAAAATAGATACACCCAGGGATAAGGAGAAGTCATTTGAATCCTCATTTGAGGTAATCAAGCAGGGAAAGAATATGACAAGTTTACTATATCTCAATAATGTAAGATTACATTCATATAAAATAATTGTTCCTCTGTGGGACGAAAACATTAAGGAGATGAATACAGATGAATACTGGCAGAATTTCTTAAAGATCATGTAAGCTAGGCCCTGTAACTAACACACAAACATACACACACACACACACAGCCTCACATCAGCCTTTGCTCACAAGCTTACATAGCAAAGGGAGAGCGAGAATATATGAGGGCCAACCTGAGCTCTAATATAATGTTGCCTTTCCCATGTGAAAAAAAGATCAAACTCATTTGCTTTTCCTCAGTGGCAGCTGGTAATATTTTGACTTGGTAGGGCGGCAAATTTAAACCTTGCTGTTTTCATTGTAATAGGATTTGCATGGCATTTATTTAGAAAATTGTGCCTTTACCTTGCTGCAAAGTGCCACTGTCACCTCTTTTTAAAAAACAACAACACAAACTTCAATTATTCATTGCACATCTATGGGCAACGGAAGAATTTCCATGTAAGATGGCCCAAGTATGATTCTCAGAAAAGATTAGCTCCATACCTCTTATGGAGCCACACCACAAAACGTTAAGTATTTGAATTCATGTGTTGATTACACCTACACAGGCATTGCAAAAAAAAAGCTAAAGAAACACAAACCTATAAAATGTGGAGAACACTTGCTTCCAGTTGCATGTGATTTTCCTGCCCTCGATAATCAATATAACTTTTTTATTATCCAAAACATTTACTGCTCTAATTAAAAGAACAAAGTTCACCAAGCAATAGACAAAAAATGATTGCTTCATTTGAAGTAGGGCATATCAGAACATATTTGCAATGCATGCTTTGGTCCTGAAAATGTGAAATAATAATCTCTGCTCACATGCAGAGTCTATCAAACTAGCAAGTAATCATAATCAAGTCTCTTATGTCTGGAAGGGGCTGGAGGGAAGAAGAGAAGCCAAACAGACATCATTAAATGTCGCTCTCAATATGGAACATTCAACAATATGCCATATGAATTGCTAACGGCAAAATACACCAATGACCTTTAGCATCTAGTGTTGTTACGCATTTTCTTCATATAAAGCAATATATTATCTTCAAATTAAGTATACTATAATGTGGTATAGAATGAATGATTGCTGTTCCTAGGTTCAAGAACACCAACACTTCCAATTAAAAGAATAAATCAGTTATTTCACTGAGAAAGTTAGCCTGTGCATATCCAAGATCTTTGCTAGAGACAATGTCCCACATTGTAAGAGAATTTAAAAGTTAATCCGTTTGTTTAAAGCAGCAAAATATTTACTTGTAGTTTGATTCACTGATAAAAAATAATGACCTCTTCCGGTCTTCATCAAGTATACCCTCCTTATTTCCAACCCAAAACCTTTCAATAAAATATTGTATGCAGAAAAGCAGCATTTAACAACTTGTCCCATTTCCCATTACATGACGTATCTTTAAAAAGGAGTTCCTGTTTTTTATCTGTAGCTACTCCATTAAAAATATCCAGGAAAAACACAGTTCCTATTAAGCACCGTCACTGCAAGGGCCAAGCAAGAACACTGCCTTCCCCTGTTGTCATAGTTTTACAAATCAGCAATAAAGAATTGCAGTCTTAAAACAGAGAGAAAGATAAGCAACGTCAGAACTGTCCAAAATAAAGCTTGAATCCATTAAGCCTTCTAATGATTAAGATATGGGTGTGTGCACGCCGTGCTACAGGTCAGCCTTTAATTGAAAGAATATTTTACAATAAAGGAATAATGAAAGACAGATTGAAAGCAAGACCTCAGTTCTTCCTGTTTCCTCTTGTTAGCATCATTTGTTCCTGCCCTCCCCGCTGATCCCTGACCTTAAAAATTGGTTGCATTATGGCCAGGAAAGGATAAAGTCTGTACCTTGCCAGGAAGATAAATATATAGCCCTTTCTTTAAAGGCACGTTAAAAAAGAAAAAAGACATCCAGATTAGGGCTTCTAATTTGTAAGATTGCACAAGCCCTGAGTAATGAACTCAAAACGCACATTTTGTTTAAACTGCAGCCCAGAAAATAGTGAACATCTGGCCAACACAAACGAGGTTATTCAGATAGGGTTTGTTGAAGCATGTTTTGGATCAGATGCATCCTTTACCTTCTATTGTAAGTTGGCTTTGAGCACATACTTCTGTATCAGATGGCACCTATTTCCAGTGGCTTAGTGAACAATCATGTTCTCTTACCACCAACTAATTATTTGACCTCCCTTGCAACTCTTATTCAAAACAAGTAATCATTCTGAAACAAGGGACTACCTAAACAAAACAAAACAAAAATCTACAGTATATGCTTTAAGGTTTATTATGCGGTTCATGTAGCCTTTGTAAAAGCAAATCACTGCCAGTTGATGCATTTACCCACATTCTTCCACTTGTGTGACCTGCAACAAAATGTTGCAGTGTGAAATATTCTTGTTGTCCTCCATGACACTCCATTCCACAGTCAGCATTCCATAGCTATCAAACACTCTCAGTTCTCACTGGTTGTTTGGGGGGTTTCTCTGCCCCCTCTCATACATATATATATATATCCTATTTCTGCAAACTATCAAGTTATTGATACGTCCCTCTTGTGCATGGGTGGAGCCATTTTGGTTACATAAGAAACACTCACAGCCTAAACATCAGAAATAGACAAATGACCTAAAATAATTGCTACCTAGCAACAGTGGAAGGCTTTAAGGGTGTAGCATAAGAGAACTTTGTGCCATCACTGCTCCTAGGACAGCGCCCAAATTACAACAGGGCCAGAGGCACCCCATGTTGGAAATGTTTTGCCTGCTAAAATATGAGAGACCCCCATCAGTATTGGCACCCCAACTAGCTCTTGGGAATACACTTATCTGGACAAACATTCCCCTGATCTCCTGTTTTAATTAACTGTTGTTTTGATGAGATTGTTTATTGTAGATTATTTAGTTGTGGGTGGATGCTTATTTTTTTATGTTTTGATGAAATTGTCTATTGTGTATTTTAATTATGTGTGACTATATTCTTTATCATCTGTTTTTTACTTATAAACCACTTACAGAACACTTCAACAAGTAAGGAGCCTATTAATTCATTACCGTATTGGCCGTATTGGCCCAAATGTAAGCCACACCCATTCCATTTTACCATATGTCTGTTTCAGCAGCGAGATCGTAAAAGCTGATTTTTGTAAGGTTGCGAGTTTAAGCCGCACTTTTAACTTTCCACGATTGACCTTTGGGGGGGAAAGTGAGGCTTATATTCAGGCCAATATGGTAATCAACAACAACAACCATCTTTCCCTTATAAGTTATACATTCTAAACTCATGAAGAATCTTCCTGGATCAGATCAAAGGCCCATCCAGTCCGGCCTCCTATTCTTATGGCGGCTGACTAGGAACTATAGGAAGCCCACAACCAAGACCTGAACACAACAGCAAAAACCACATCACGGCATTCACCACCTACAGAATAAGAAAAAGGAAAGTCTACTTTGTCAGACAGATATTCCTTCCTGGATTGGAACATGCATGGGCCACCAAGTGAGAAGCACAAGATTCAGGAATTTGGAAATGAGGAATGTCTCCTGAATATTAACATAAATAAAACAATTTTCAGGCACCTAACCTTTTATCAACATCAGATGAACCTTCGAAGTTACAAATCTGTAATTCAGATTTAACAGAAGACAGAAAACTGCAGGATTTTCTAGCCTGGCATTTTCTGCTCTAACATTCTATTAATTCAAATATCTGGATTCAAAATGGCATGCAACATGTCAGATGGCTGTTGCGGTTGCTCAAGAGTAACCAGGCAGGACTCCAAACCTGTGTTTTACAGGTTTTTAATTTGGTGCAAACTATTTACAGTGAAGAGCCCCAAAGCTCATGTCTGGCTCAATCGCTAGCAAAATCCAGGAGTGGTCTTTTTTGGGACCTCCCCCAACATAAGAGTTTCATTACCCCCAACCTTCTCCTTCCCTTTTTGCGCCTTAGGCTACTGCGCAGGATGGGCGATGGGAAGGGCGTGTTTCCCTTCTGTCCGCCTTGCCCAGGAGCGGTGTTAAGTCTCCCACAAGCATTCTCTGGTCCTTGCACCTCTTCCCCACTAGAGGTGGGGCTTTCCTCCTCCCCGTAAGGGGAACTGCTTCGCAAGATTTTCGGAGGCTCCCTGTAACACAACTCCCCTTCTATTCCTCGCTTCTGAGCCAATGGCAGTTCCCAGACACAACAGCAGCATTTTAAACCACACAAACAAGGGAAGGGTTGTCAAATTTCCTTTCCCTAAACAATATGAAATTATTATTATTATTATTACAAAGAAATTAAATTTGCATATCTGAAGATCTCAGGGCAGTTCACAGCAAAAAAGAGAGAGAATGCAAAATGTATAATACGTAAAACCAAACCAGAACCAGAACAATAACCCCCCTCCCAAAAACACATTTAGAATGTTAATCAGCCCAATACCTGGTTGAAGAGAAACATTTTCACCTGGCACCTAAAGATATGTATCAAAGCAGCCAGGCAAGGCTCCCTGGGGAGTGCATTCCACAAATGGGGAGCCACTGCAGAAAAGGCCATGGTGCCATTCTCCAGACCTCTCATGGAGGAGGCACACAAAATTAGAGTTGTTCCTAGAGAATTGCGTGTATAAAAATGAATTTGGAAATGTTGGCTATATTGACTTGTTCTAGGAATGTCAAAATTACAAACCCACTGAATGAGAAAATGCCATGTGCCACCTCCTGGGTTCCAGGTTCATTTCCTACTTTCTCAGTGAAGGCACTTCAAGCAACGGGGATTAGAGCTATAAGCAAATATTACCCTATACTGGGGC